GGACATTTTACAATCCTGCCCAAAAAATGACGGGCAGCGAAAAAGTCTAGCGCAACCTCTGGTCCCAGATATACCTCCTACACACGGTCATAATAAGCCCACGAGCGCCATTATAACGCCTTGTGTGGACAGCACTGCACACACCTCCACTCATCCCCATGATGAGAGCCGGAGTGACACGCAGCGTGTGGAGGCTCCCTCGCAGCCATTTCGGTCCAGGCCCACCTTGGGTTGACTTGCCTCACGGGCAGCGGCGGCGAGGGCTCTGGCGTGGCGTGGCGTGGCTCGTCACCATGACAACCACAGCACATCACAAGCATGTATGCCCGCTCTCAGAGTATTTCTCAGAGTGGCAGCGCATGTGTCTGATGGACAGATGGATGAGCAGGCTGATCAGCAGAGGGTACACTCTGCAGTTCGCCTCTCCCCCCCCCCACAGTTCAATGGGATACAGGAAACACTCCTGTCATCCCGGGAACAGTGTCTTGCGCTCCATTCAGAGCTGCAGAAACTCCTGTTGAAAAATACTATTTCCAGGGTTCCTCAAAGGGAGTAAAATCAGGGTTTTTTACTCCCGTTATTTTCTATTCCCGAAAAAGACCGGTGGAATGAGACCCATCCTCGATCTGTCAGTATTCCACATGCTGAAGATCAAACAGGTGCTTGAATGTGTTCAACGACTGGTTCACTTCCACCTGAAGGATGCATATTCCCATCATCCCGAAAACACAGGAAATTCCTGCATTTCTCATTTCAGGGAATATCAGACCAGACAATCGTTTGACGTTCGGATATTCCCTGGCTCCTCGCATTTTTTCAAAGTGTGTAGGGAAGGCTCTGAAGCCGCTACACAGAGGAGGGATGAGAGTGTGGTTTTATCTGCCGACCTGCTGTTGCTGACTCGCTCCAGGGAGGAAGTCGCTTTACAGACGGTACATCTCGTGTCGCATCTGTCAAAGCCTGGGTTTCATAATAAAGTGGAAGAAGAGCTGTCCTCTTCCCACTCAGACAATCGTTTATCTGGGAGTGGAATTAAACTCAGCCAGCATGAGAGCGCGGCTCTCGCGGCAGAGAGTGGAGAAACTGACAGCTCTCCTCCGGCGTGTCACACCCCACAGCGTGGTGACAGCCCTCTCCGTGATGCAGCTGCTCAGCATGACGTCAGCTGGTCACGTGGTGATCCCCCTGGGGGAGACTCCAGAGTGGGTTCATTCGCCTGCGCATCGACCCCGTGGGTAAATGTGCTGGAGCTGCTCTCCGTTTTGGAAAGTATTCCAGAACTTTGCATGTGTTGATTCACACAGACAACAGGCCACGGCAGCCTACCTCAATCGCCAGGGAGGAGTACGGCTGCTGTTCTGGTCGCACACACACGTTGCTCTCCATCAGAGCAATGTATATTCCCGGCGAATTGAACAGAGGGGCTCGCAGAACGCAGGATCACCCCCCTCTGGGGGTAGACACGTTCGCACATCGGCCGTGGCCCAGGGTGCTGTTATACGTTTTCCCACCAGTTCCGCTGACCCCTCGGTTCCCGGACCGAGTGCGGGAGAAGCGGCTATCAGCGGTCCTGATAGCCCCGGAGCGTCCTGGTTTCCATGCCTACAGTGTACACTATCAGGCAGACAGTGGGAAATTCCGTGGCGCGGGGACGCTCTCTCCCAGGCAGAGGGAGCGATCAGCAGCCATCCAAACGTTTTCTGCGAGGAGTACGGAGACTCAGACCTGTGTCACGCACACTGTCGCCTCAGTGGGACTTGGCTATGGCGTTACGTGCACTGAGTAAAGCCTCATTTGAACCTTTGGATCAGGTTCCCCTTAAGGTTTTGTCAGCCAAAGTAGCATTACTTTTAGCACTGACATCAGCAAAAAGGGTGAGTGATTTGTCTGCCCTCTCTGTGGCTCCGTCATGTCTCCGGATCCAAGGAGATGGCAGCTCAGCTGTTTTGTCAGTGGAAGACATTTACACTGCTGCATCTTGGTGTTCCCCCTGTTCGTTTATTCAATGTTATTTGAGGGATGTCTCCCATTCCTCTCTGACACACCCTGTACGGAGTGTCCTGTCAGAGTGAGTGATGTCAGGGATCCAGCTGTGCGCGCTCTCCTGCCTGTCTGCACGCAGAGAGCTGCTGTTCCCCCTTTTTTATCGCTGGACAAAGTATAAGCTTCGTCTCTACTTTTTCACGGTGGCAGGGTTGTATTGTTCCCAGCCTTCGTCCCCTCATGGAGAATATTCATGTTATGCTATATTCCAGGGACGGTGATGCGCCATTCGCATGGCGCAATAGGCATGGGTTGTTATCTGAGCAGGTGTGTCTGTGCTTCTAGTGCCGGGCGGACCCAGTGGGGCGCAGACTATGCTTCGCCCTTAACCCAATAGCGATAGCCTTAGAGGGCGAAGCCATATACGAAATAGAACTGAAGTTACCTACTGTAACCCAGCTTCTATGAGTATTGGTGTAGCCCTCTAAATTCTGGGCCCCACTAGTGTTAATTTCGTCAGCTATTTTTTTATTTAGTTTTAGTCTTAGTCCTGTGTTAAATTTCCTTTTTAGTTTTAGTCATATTTAGTCACCTTCATCCTGTTTTTATTTAGTCAAGTTTTAGTCGACTAAAAGTCTGAGCATTTTAGTCTTATTTTAGTCAAATAAAACTAATTATATTAGTCTACTTTTTGTCAATAAAAACTGTTGAGTATTTTTTAGTCATCAGATTATATAGAACATTTCAGTCAAACTAGTCTAGCCAAAACCAATAATTTGTCATTTTAGTATATATAAATAAATAAGATTATATCTTGTCCTTATTTGATGAAAAACACAGGTTGAATGATTAAGCAGCTTTGCAGAGAGTATCTGCTCAGGTTTGTGGTGTTTTTACCAGCTGTGTTATGGCCACATTGCTTCCCTTCTGATAAAACAATGCATTCGCTTTTTTTCTCCGCCTCATTGTAGGGAAAATGGGCCCAAATATCACATTGTTTCTTTCTCCCAAGCAGTGGTGGCTTTAGACTTTTTCGTTGTCAGTCATTTTGACGGATCGTAACATTTCCGTCATAATCCATTATTATCCGTCGAGTGCACAATTTATCAATCACTCGCGCTGACGGGGGGGTATTCGGTTAACGCGAGTGCGACCACTGCTCCCAAGCCCTGTTGCCATTTCATTTTCTGTTAAATAAGGTTAGTTAGACCATGAGTTAGACCCGAGTCTTCCTGACAGTTCATATTGTGCCGCTGCCCGGTGTAATTCAAATCTACCGCCGCACACAGCACGGACACACAGCTGCTGCCCTGCCGCAGCACCGGAAATGGAACTGCTGGGAGAAAAACTGACTATCAGAGATGTAACGTTATCTTTGATAATATTTCGTCTCGTCACTTTTCGTCAACGATATTGCATGATGATTTCGTTACAGTTATTGTTTACTGCCGTCGGTGCCGTCTCGTCATCGTCTCGTTTTCGTCATGGAAAAAAAGGTCGTTGACGAACATATTTCGTCATAGGTTTAGTCAACGAAATTAACACTAGGCCCCACTGGCTCCACGAATAGCTGAAGAAAAGCTGTTTGTGTGGGAGCAGATTGTCGGGCCTCCTTCCTATTTATACCGGAAGTGAGTCCGAAGATGGAGCCCACCTCGCAGGTTGGCGTGGACTACAAGCGTTTTCAGTGCTGCGCGGGTGCGCAGGGGATTACCCAATAGTGATAGCCTTAGAGGGCGAAGCCTATACGAAATAGAAGCTGGAGTTACAGTAGGTAACTTCAGTTTTCCTACAAAGAGAAGTAGTAAACTCAGCCTCCATTGATTTTCATATCAAATTAGCGTGTTAATAAAATAAGCGATCATGGCTTATACTATCTAAACAGAATCATGAAAGCATGTTGGTAGAGTCAGGCACACGAGTCCGTTTGAGTGTCTGACTCTACCAACAAGCTCACGAACTGCCAGCTTTTCTTTACTTCTCTCTTAACACAATAAAGAAACAGACCGTATAGTACAGCACAAACAACACAAATGATCAATACTTACATATATTTTCACTTGTAGTATTATAATAATTGAAATGCTGGTTCTTCTGGGGGTGTTCTATCCACGCTCAGCTACCGCACCGCAGCTGCACTGTAGCCTGCAATCGCTGGAGGACTGGGCTGTCACTCAAAAACTGAGTAGCCAATGGGGACGCACTCCTGAAAGTCCCACCTCCCTGGGACGTTTGTGTCAGAATCGAAAACAAAAAATGAGGGAGCACAAATGAGAGAGCTGCAGCGAGAGCAAAAGTCTGATCATTGAGAAAGAAGCAAAGAGAACTGCAAACAAAAAGATAAGTTAAAACAAAGAAAAAAGGATTATAGTTTACACAAATGATTTGTTTGCAACTTATAGTTTTATTTTTGAAATTACATTTATTTTTGCTTGACTCAGTTTTTTTCTCTCTTAAACTCTTAGTTTTGCTTGATTCTGAGAAAGTGTTCCTTTATCTTTATGAAACAAAACTAATCCCATACCCATGAGTTATTATTGGTTTATAAGCTAAACTATTTAGCGGACCCTGACAGAAGCTAAATTAGCTTAATGTCGTTAGGAAATCAGTTGTTTACAAAGACTTCCCAACCGGAAATAATATGTATCACTAGACTGAGAAGAATGTACAGAATTAAAAGCACAAACCTTTTAAATTTGACGACCGTGTAAAGTTGACATGCAGAGATTCGTGCTGCCTGCTGCTGCTCTGTTTTGATATTCGACACCGCAATCCAAATAGGAAATGCACATACTTTTCCGGCTCTCAGTTTTTCGAGATAAAAGCTGTCCTAAAAATGTATTAGAATAAAGGTTATTAAGTTACTTAATTTAGACCCTGGTTTTCACCACTGGTTGCTGGCACAGGTTACAACTATTTTCATATACGCTATATAGCAATCCATATTTCCAACAATGCAAAATGTAACGTTTTTTCAGGCTCCTTATTAATAATCAGTATTTTATTGTGAAATCGTTTACAGGAAGTTAAAGCTTCTGTAGTCTTCTGGCTTCACAGTGGTTTTGTAACGTGTAAGGTCACACAGAGGCGCTTTACAACCGTTTACCCAGATTAAAATGACGTGCAAGTTATACTTTTATATTTTGTTTGATTAACTAGCGTGATGATTTATTGACGGAACTTGTTCAACCAACGTAAACAAGTAAACAGTTGGCCGTTTGAAAAAGGTAAGCTAACCTGCTAAGCTATGTGACTGTGTTATCTCCTAGTTTAACTAACATTAACATTAGCTGTAACACTTCCTGGAACTTACATTTAAATGTCTTTAGGGCTGAAGGAGAGAGTGATATTGCAGTCCTTATTTAATTACATTTTGAATTATCTGTATAGATCAATTGCACAATGCACCAGGTCATAAAACTATTTGGTCCTTGAAAATCATTAGAGTTAATACTAAGATTGGGAAATTGGCTCTTAAATACTAGGCTACATAAGTGGGACAATCTGAAGAAGCTTGTAAATGTAGACACGCTGATTCCTTTGTTCAATTGTAATCACTTTAGGACAGACAGTGAAGCATTGTGCATGCATGTTTGCTTTGAATTAAAGTTGTCCTTGTGATGATGTCTTTCGCCTGTCAGTTGTGCAATTTGTAAGTGTCTAGTTACTTTTTACATATAAAAACATGGGATGTGCTTCTATGATATGACACAGTACTGTACCAATATACAAAAATGCAACCCAGTATTTCAAACAGTATCTAAAATAGTCTCCACATTAAGTGCCCTGCCATGTACATGTTCCTGAGGAAAACGGATAGTATACAAATACAATATTGTGAAAAGTGCCATTGTGCATATGGAGTTCTTTTAATTCTGATTAGCTGATATTAATTATGTTCTTCTATTGAAGTAACATTTTGCAGTCATGCATTTTACTTGTAATGGAGTAGTTTAAAACCATAGTAAATTATTTAAGTAAAGGATCTCAGTACTTCTTCCACTTCTGCTTGTCCTGTCTTTGTATTCTCATCATCCTAACTCAGTGTGTTTTATTCCTACAGTCACATCAGATCCCAGACAACTTCTCAGCCAATCAGATCCTGCGTGGACCCACTCTCCTCAGAGACACCTCTATAGGATCAACTGAAGAGAACTCACCGGAAAGTAAACTAAGTGGAGCGTCGGGGGCCCTGAGTGTTTTGTCTTGTAGCTTTAGCTTTACACTCTTGACACATTCAGGTTCAACATCACGTGAGAAGCATCTGGTGGAACCGCACTACCGCAGCTGTGGACTTGGTTTGTGATCTTTGGTGAGTGAGTTTGTCCGATGGCGAGGCAGAGTAAGCTGCAGAAGCAGATCCTGGCTCTGTACCGGCAGTTCCTGCGGGCCGGACAAGACAAACCAGGCTTCATCCCCCGAATCCGTGACGACTTCAGACAGAACGCTGGCATCAAGAAGACTGACGTGATGCACATCGAGTACCTGTACCGACGAGGGCAGAGGCAGCTGGAGCAGCTGAGGGACGTCAACACCAAACAGTTGGGCTCCTTCGCCAAACCTGCAGAAAAGAGCTGACCTCTGACCTGTACGGCATCATGTGACCATGGACGACACTGACAAATACCTCTCAAAGACTTACGACCAAACTGTCACCCGTGTTGCTCTGTATCCAGTTGGGAAAGAAACATGATTTTGGAGTTTAAAATCCAAATGAACGTTCTCTGATTGTTTAGACGCATTAAATTAAAATATACTTCATTTGAGCTCTCATGATAATAAATGTTGCTTTGAAGAGAAAAAGGTTATTACTGCAGTTTGTATCACTGTACATGGATCCATCAACATTTTAATAAGTTCTCAAATGACAGACTCCACTTTTATTCATGGTCATCAGCTCTGTGAGGCTATACTTGGACAGTAGAGCTTATTGCTGCTCACTAAATACTATGTTCACAATAACTAGGCTAACATACTGATATTTAGAAAATAGTGCTGACAGTCATAGTTCAGCTAAATATCAGCAAACATAAAGTAGGCTGAGGCTGATTGGAATGTCATTCATTTAGATATTAGGCCATAATCATAAACAAGATGAAGATGAATGTCTGTTCAATGGTTCATGGAATTCCTTCAAATAACAGATATCGGTCATGCTGGGAGAGTACACTTTATGCTATTTTTAAGCATGTATATTGTTTATAAAATATGATGCATTGCTGTATAGATTAAACAATTCAACAGTTTATAAGTAGTTAAAATTAGCATATGAGTGGATACATTCAAAAAATAATAAGTAAAGGGAAATATACATCAGAAAACATGTAAAAAGAAAATAATACATTTGGGAATAATTAAGCATTTATAAGTAATCACTCTAATAAATATGTTATCTATTCATTTTTCTATTTCTTTGAACAAGTAATTTTCAAATTAACCTCAACATTTATTTAATGATTGAACACACCAAGGAGAGACGGTTCTTAACTATAACATTTATGTAAACCTTTAGATAATTTAAGTTTGCTTATCATTTTATTTGAGTTTGCCTTATTTAATTTGATGTGATTTTGACTATTGTAAAGGCCACTATTTTGTTGGGTGTGTGTTGTAACAACCTTAATTGAATGAAACACACCAGCCATGGACATCAAGTCGGCCTGACGAGTCACAACAACACTAAGAGCGAGAGAAATAACTTGAAAGATAACGTATTGGAAATGTCAATATCTACAAGACTGAAGCTGACGAGTAGTATAACAGTTATATTAGCATTACATTTAGTCTGTTAATAATAAATGACTACAGTGAGACCTTGAATGTAGCAGGATATATCCTATAGCTCATTATCACTTTTTTTCTGAAGTGAAACACTCCTTTCACTTCTGCTCTTACAGAAGTAGAGAATATAGTATTTGTCATATTTTATTTTACTGTACTCAGTTTCTTACATATGTATATGTTGTGTTAATATTGCCTTTATTTTGAATTTGTTACAATAGACTTTGAAATAGTTTTTAAAAATAGCTTTTATAATAGTATTCTTTTTTTTGTTTTGCTTTCTTAAAAGGATCCAAAAAGTATTCTTCTTTCTGTCTGTGTACTTGGTAATCAAACCGATTCTGATTGTGACCACTGAGAGGCAGCATGGAGTCTGAGTCAGACTGACACCAACGAAGAAGAAGAGGAAGCAATGTAAACAGGAAGAGAGACATTTCTCATCCCACCCTATATTTTAGTCGACAGAATCATTTATTATCGGTATATTTTTGTGAAAATAGCAAATTTAACTTATTTTATCGGTAACAGAGGAAGTTGTAGGATTATTATTCATCAAAACTGTCAGCTGTTTGGTGTGTTTTACTTTTATATTCAGCTTTATCGTCATGGCGAATTCAGGGGGAGCAATGTCAAACGCTCAGTTATTTCAGCAGGTGAGAAAAAATACACACATCTGTTTATGTTGCTAAATTCAGTTTACTCATCCCTGACAGGCTTGGGGAGTAACGGATTACATGTAACGTGATTATTATTAGGATACACTTTTTTTTTACTTCATTCGATTGCGATTACATAAAATAAATACGTGTTTAGATTACTGTTACATTTGCTAATATCGGTATTACCAGCAAGACAACAGTGTTACAACACATTTTGAATTAAAAATCGATATATTATAGGTAGACGTACTGAATGAATGTTCTTGATGGGTTATATTTAGGCTACTTTAATTGTTGTATGCAGTAGGTGGACACATGATTTGGTCAGTTCGCTAATTTCAGAATGTATCTATGCAACACAATACAAAGATATCTCTGACATAACGTCAATACTCTAATGTAACCTCTTCACGTGCTGTAAAACATTATTTATGTAATTATGGCTTAAGAGGGTGTACCGAATTCATCATAGGAAATGAATTCAATGACTATCATTGATTTGATCTCATTACTGGACTTTCACACAAATGTGCTGAATAATACACAAAAGCATGTTTATGTAGCAAAATGAAGAGTACAAACTGTGGCAGTTGGAGGTAAAGGAACCATTATTTGAAGCGAGCAGAGGGTGGAAACAAGAAGTGACGTTTTAAATAGCTACAATATATGTTAAACTCCAAAGTTACGTTACCTTGAGCATTTCTGTGACACTGCTGTCCCATTCATTAATTTTTGGAGATTATGAATGGGACAGCAGTGTCACAGAAATGCTCAAGCGGTTGAACTGGGTGGAATTGAGTGAAAGGCGGCGATTGGCTCGTTTGGTTCTCTTCTTCAACATTGTCCATAACATCTCAGCCATTGATGCATCAATGTACTCTAGAGCCAGTTAGAAGAAGTGCAACCGCAAAGCCAACTCTTTGAACTTCAAGCACATTTTCGCTACTAGTGACACTCTTAAATACTCTTTCTTTCCGAGAACAATCAGAGAGTGGAACTTGCTACCAGAAGAAGCTGTCATCGCAGAGTCCGTGAAGTGCTTCCGGCAAACTTTAAGTGACATTTAGCGGGGATCATCCATCCCTCACTGAGCGTGATACATCTGGGTTCTGCTCAGTATTAATTAGTGCTGCGTACCTGGACTCACATTCAGGTTCAGGTCCGGACTCAAGTCCAGAGGTTCAGGTTCAGGTCCGGACTTATAAGTCCGGACCTGAACCCATGGCTTGTGTCAAGTTGTGTGAGTAACTAAAGTGAACTTATTGTGAGCTAATTATCAATTGAAAATTAACTCATAATTAACTCAAATTCAAACTCATCAGGTTTATTGTGCTCCCTTCCAACTTGTGTCTACATTTCTCTACAAAGTACAAATGTAAAAAAACACTTTTTGCCACTTAGTCTACAAATGACTTATGACAGCAACTACAGTGAACTACTACAAAGTTCAAACATTTATTTCATTTACCAAACTAAAGTAACCAAACAGTCCCTGAGCTGACTGAGCCTAAATCCCTAAAACGTTGCTGAAAGGTAGAGTGGAGAGTAGACCAGTGGTTCCCAAACTTTTTGTGCCCAAGGCACACCAAAGGACAAGTAAAAATCTCAAGGCACACCTGTTGTGCAAAATAGCCCTTATAACACGTGTTATCACTCATATCATGTAAAATATCTGTAAATGTGCATAATTATTTACTAATGCCAAATAAAATGTGACAAAGACAACTATATTACTCATGAAATATTTATTAACGAAATATTTCAGAAATGAATTTGAAACTTTATCAAATTAGGCTTCATCAAAGCAGCAACACACTCATTTAAACCAGACAGGTCACAAAATAAAAAATGAGGCAAAGGACACTCAGCAGAAATTCAGCACAGAGAACTGTCAATGCAAGGAAGCTGCATTGTCCATGGTCCTGAACTACAAATTATAAATGTAACATTTCAGCAATCAGCATTGAAACATGTGCTATTGTAAATATGTTTGCCGACTTACAAATTAGTGAGATACATGTGCCTGACGGGGCGCGCAGATTTGTTTAATCCTTGGTGGCACTGAGGAGAGGGCCACTCGCAAGTCCTGTTCAACAGAGAGCCGTGACCTCCTGTTGTTCTTCATGTAAACCAGAGTAGAGAACGCCAACTCCAGAGATGGGGTCGTTACTAAAAAAATGTAATATATTACATATTACTTTAAAAAAAAGTAATATATTAAACTACTGCTACATAAAGTAACTCGTTACTTTACTCGCCGAGCACGTACGAACTGCGCATGCGTGAGTGGCAATAACTTTCCTTACCAGCAGGCGGCGGTAGTGTGTATTTGTCATTCAAAACAGGCAACAACCGGAAGACAGAGAAGAAGATATACGTGATATAAACAAACAACAAATAGCGTGTGCGGTAGCTTCACCTTAGCATGTGTTCTTAGCAGGTGCTTGTTGAGGTTTGACCACGTGGTGTTTCCAGCAGTGGATAACAGCTTCTGGCCTGGACACAGTTTGCACCTCACCGTCACATTCCTGTCTATTCTTCGGACGAACTCAAAATAATGGGCAGACCTCCACCCCTCGAAAGTTATCGCTGACTCAGCCATGTTTATGCAGCACTGCACGTGGAGATGTGGACGCGCAAGTCGCGCAGATTACGTACATATAAACCTACAAAGTACTGATATAGTAAATTAAAAATTAAAAAATTATTTTTGTGTAGTTGTATATTGCAATAATAACGTATGGTTGTCACAAAATCCCACGGCACACCCTGACTTGCCTCACGGCACACCAGTGTGCCGCGGCACACCGTTTGGGAACCACTGGAGTAGACTATACGCATTACACTGTTACACACCTACTATACAGTATAGACTACACTGTAGTGTACTGTACTGTATGTACACCATGTATTTTCTACAACTCTACATGTGTACATTATACAGTACATACTACATACATAGTGATGTACATACATACTGTTAGAAATTAAAATCAATGTTGATATGGCGTAATTTTGAATTAAATACACTATTTCATTTAAATCAGTTTTATTCTGAAAAAACCGGAAGTTCACACTATTAACTTAATACTTTTATTCTGAAAATTATTCACTTCCGGTTAGCATTAGCATGTGGCGAAATGCTACGTTTTCAAACCGTGAATCGAAGGTGAAATTCTTTCACACACAAATACGGGTATTGGGCCGAGGGCGACACCGTACTTCCGGTATCCGCCATTTCACACGAGGTGCAACCAGAATATCATAGTCTATTGCCTTAATCAATATCTAGTCAACTCTAAAATACCACATATATGCAATGGCATGATAATATTATTGTGACAAGTGGGGTATTCACCTGGTGTTTCCAGAAAATAGACGTAGATGCAGCCAAAATCGACGAAGGCCACTTTCGAGGGTTGTTTTTCCATACATCTGCAGGCAGTCTGTAAAGGCAATCCGACAACCCACACAGCTCTAGTTTACGCTGGTAACGACCTAGAGCACCCCCCCTCGTCCAGAGATGTAATCCGAAGACATGCAGCGATTTCTTCGGTCGTTAATTCAGAAAAAAAAACTAGTGCGCTCCAGGATAATTGCACCTCCAGGAAAATGGCGTATTTATATATATATATGGCGCGCGTTGCATTGTGGGTAGCTTGTGACGTCACTGTGTGTGAAAGAATGGCATGTGATGTTGTACACTGAGCACACTGGGATTAGCACTCATTTATTGACGCTGAATAACGTTTATCAGGGAATGTTTAAATAACCACAGACACCAGAATATACGTAAGTGCTAGTTTTTTTGCAAGTCCAAGTACCGGTTCCCGACGTTCCGGTTTTAACCGGACTTGAACCGAAACTTTTTACAAGTCCAGTACCGGTTCGGCGTACCGGTATGCAGCACTAGTATTAATCCAGATCTAGACCCAGACCTAATAATATAGGGCAAACCGG